CAATTTTTTAATATAATGGGGGCTAATGTATTTTTTTTGTCGCAAATGTAGGTAGGGGTATTTTTGTCCAATCACTGCAGCTGTCATATATTGAACGTCCAATGGTGTGACTCTATAGTTGGGTCATTACAAACGTGCGAACTTTCACGTCAAAGGAATATGAGAATGCCACACAATTCGCATAAGTGTGAGCGAGAGATTTGACAATTCGCACGTTTGTAAAAAGTTAGTTCTATAATGGACGAATAATAAGAGGTTAACACAAGCGCCATCTAGTGAGCAAAATAGGATAGACCCCATTAAGTTTAATAGTATACATAAAGTAATGAAATCTGAGCCATACTACACTGTACGATCATAGAAAAATTATGTATTATGTACGAATGTTTCTACTGTTTCACGGAAAAAACTACTGAACAAAGTATTAAACTTAGTTAAACTTCGAAAAGAGGTTAATATGATGACCAGAACATTATAAACTACTTTTTTCCCATTTACGAAAGCGAAGCTATTATACAGAAGTCTTCTTAATAAATGAGTCCAACTTTACCGATTTCAACCACAGCAATTTGACTTTATTTATTTATAATCCCATAGTATCCCACATACACACCTATCAGTAACAGACTCGTGCAGGAACCCTTCCACGGCCACCACGGGTACATTATTGTTGAGGTCTCCGTGCACAGACCGTACATGTGCGATACGTTGCTTGGCCGCTGCGTACGCGGCCGCATACCCCACTGGCTGCTCCGCTGTCACCTCGCTGTGTGCTGCATAGCCACTGGAATTTGGAATGTACTGTGTTAGAATTTAGGTTGATAGTTAATTGTTTTATTTAATCAATAGGCGCAAATACAGATTGTAAACGGAACACTCTCAAAACGATGCTGTTTTTACAATTGGCTAGTTTATTAGGTTTAAAATATTTTTTTTCAATTTTTCAATGCAATAAATGAATATAAAAAAATCATACTCTCATCCATTGATTTGACAATTTACCTATTTTTGTATTTTTTTTCTCGTTAATTTTAAGGAAATAACTATGCTATTTGACACAGAAATATGATGACGTCATAAGTTGCGCTCCAATACAAAATTCATAGAAAAGTTTGTTTTTGACATTTCAATAAAAGTATTGAATTTGACTACCTGTCAACTACCGTATTTTAATTGTTTTTGTTTTCGTGTTATTCATGCACCCTTGAGCAGTTGAATACATCTATTATTACATTAATTTTATGAAAATAATACTTATTTTTACCATCACCCGTCCATGTGTTTCAAGCGTTCAGTTTCCACTCTGTATACTTTTTAGTCAATCAGCTCAACCATAAATAAATACCAAAGAAAGCTGTATACTTACACCACATTAGCTTTCCCAAAGACAGTTTGAAATGCATCTCTGATCGGTGATATTTTTACTTCTTTATCTGATGCTACCACCACTAGAAGGTCCCCACCGCTTCCTGTAACAGAAAATGAATAATTTATTTTTGCATCATTAATACGGCAAGGTTTGTTTAAAATGAAACATACTGATAAATAATAAACTAATTAATGCACTTACTCAGATACTCCTTCATTTGTGGGTCAAGTGTTGTGATCATGGAGTCGACAGAGCTCTTTGCCTTCTCAGCCACACGCTGCAGTATCCCTCCAGTGGACACCGCTCCTTTCATCCATGTGAGCAGACCACTTCCCGGCATAATGTCACCTGGTAACAAATTAATTTGTTACTCATGAATCAGACATAGTAATTTTAATGACAAATCATATAAGGACTTCTTTATTGAATCAAGTTGTTGGAAGCGTGACTGTTAAGAGTGCATTCACACTAGGCTTTATTGAACATTTACACTGGACAAATGCTAGCATTTACCGAACATCTATGCCGGACAAATGCTAATGTCAAGGAGCTCTAACCAACCTGGTCAAACTATTCTAAAATATTACCTTGACAGTACTTCCTAAAGATTACTGTTAAATTGACATCTTCCAATTTTTAAAGTTAAGAAAATAGTTAGTAAGCGTACCAAGTTTGTCAATCTCCGAAGTGGAGTCTGGCAATGACTCTGGAGACTGTGAGGCCTGTGAGTCTTCAGGAGACCTGATTGCCATCACTGGTTCTCCCTTGCCTAGCGGGATTGCAGGACTGAAACCAAAGAAATTATGACATTGATTTTCTTAACTTGTGGTGTGCCGGAACGTACATCTACGAGAGACACAATGTATCTTGTATTGTTTCTCATGTACAGGCACTTGACAAGTTAATAATCTTTTTATCCAGCTACACTAGCAACTATAAAGTTATAAAATTTTGTATTATGCAAATGCATAAAAAGTAAATGTACAATTTTCTGTCGTACCAGTTTAAAAAAATTAAAGTGGCAATAAAAGTTTACAAACAAATGAAGCAATATCCAACATATTAATTTCTACATGTTATTGTTATCTATAAATCTATGATATCATCATTTCCTGATTCACAATTGAACATTATTAATAAGTGAAATACCTAAATTTCTCAGCATTGTCCTCCTGTGGAGGAGGTTCATCCCTTCCTTGTACTATGATAGGCTTCACTGGTAGAGGGGCTGGGATTGGCTGGCCGGCTACAGGCAGGGGCGCTGCAATTGGCTGCCCTACTGCTGCCTGAGGGACCTGCAACCATAGCCAAAATTTTTATAAATGAACATTATAAAAATAAGATTACAAAGAAGAAAGCATAAATTACAAGGAAAATAAACTTATACTGTATATACGTCACACTAACTTTAACACTAAACTTTTACTTCTAAAGTCGTAAAAAATGTAAATAAATGTCATTCTACCTCAACAGCTGGGACTACAGGAGTCGCAGTTACAAAGTTAGGCAGCTGCGATGGAGGTGCCACGCTCGACAGCAAGTTCCCCGAGCTACCTGCAGGTGCCGGCGGCTGCGGGATCTTCGGCTTCTTATCCAACCCACTCATGTTCCACTATCACTTACACTACTCTAAAATACACGAAAATATCATCAAAATCATATCCTAACATACCTGTTGTAAGTTAAAAAGGCTAAAAAATGAAACAGTGACTATAATTCTCTTCAGTTATTATAACAAATCACCAAATAAATAAGTAAAACATATTTTACCTTCACAACAAAAACAATATTTTAGTTAGTGGATTACTTTTTTTTAATGATTTGACAGCTGATAAAGAAAGAGAGGCTTACGTTTTGTTATTAAAAATGACACGTAATTTTTACCACATTGCAGCATTACTATCTTCGTAATTTTGGTTAACTAACGATCTGATATTCTATAAATAATTTACTTTTAGACAAATCTAATAAGAATTGTACATTTTTTTATTAAATTATCATAATAACGATTAAATCCAACTTGATTGAATCTGTATTTGTAAACAGAATTGAATACGTCACTAAAAATCTGACAGTGGCTTTGCCGAGTTCCATAGCAAAAATACCGCATATTTTTAACATGGAGCATTTTTTATCTCTTTCATTCTTTACTGATTTATGTTGCATATCATTTCTTTAATGTTAAAAATCCTATATAATTTATAGTTATAATTACAGAAAGGGGGTTGTTCATTTCTGTCAAGCGAATCTTGGTATCGGAAAGTTATCTCGCTGTTTTCGGGAAAAATTTGATTAGAAGCTTTAACTGTTCGTGGTATAATTTGTGAGTGTGTCGACATCTAAAACAAATTAACGATGTCAGAAGAGCCAGATACACCGCCCTTTAGCACAGTGGATATCAACAATGATAATAGGGATGACGAAGATCTTTTCGCGTCTGCGGTCCAGGTATCTTATTGGAATCCTGTTTTATTAACTTGTTGTGTTTGCGTCCGCCCCCCGGCGGCCCGGCGAAACGTTGACGCCCCTCTGCATGGCGAGAAATTATGGAATTTACAACATTCCAGCAACCTTATGGTGGTGATGCTAATTCATTACAATTAATTACCGCTTATTACCATTATTACACACATTTTGCACGAGAATTGTTTGTAGTGTTTTTCACAAGTGTCTGACATTCCATGGAACTTGATTTCTCATTGAATGATCCTTGAAACTTAATTAAATTACTGAATCAATGCCCCAACTGAAATAAGTCATTGTTTTATCTCTTCTATTAGTCACCTTTATGATAGTCTGTAGTTCAGTTGTTTTTATTTTCTTATCTGTAAATAATAGTTAATATTGTTTTTAGAAGATTGTGAAAGTAAGCTTCAATAATTGCAATGGCTTTTGATTTTAATCCTGTGTTTACTTATGTGCAGGTAATGTACAAAATAGTATTTAATTTTTGTATTTAATTAATTTGATTAAAGAGGTTTCATACTACATTGAAAGTGATCTAAACTCTGGTGACATAATCATATTATTAAAATATAAATTTGGAGACTCGATTGCCATTTCAGAAGAAAAATACACAATATGAATTCTTTAATCATGTCTCTTAAAACATATTACCTAAAATCAGTTAAAATATTATTTAAAAAATCAACTAGCTGCCCTTTTATGAAACCATTCAACTGACATGTCAACATTTTCCTCATATAAAAAAGGAAATTAAAATTCATACTATCAATATCCTTGTCGGTAAAACTTGTTTTAGTATAGAATAGCACAACTATTGTTATTGTATCTTTGCAATAACTTAATAATTATTCAACTATAATTTAAAAATGGGTAGTTTTAATTCAGTTTCAAAGTAAGCTTAGTATAGTGTTTACCATTAACGAAACCTGGGCTTGCATTTTCTAAATATAAGTTTGAAATCATCAACCTACATTGAGCAAGTGTGGTGATTAATGCTCATCCTTCACCGTGCAAGAAGAGGCTTTTGGTCAGCAGTGGGCATTTATAGGCTGTTGATGATTGTATAAAAATACTTCCAAGGCATTGTTGTAAAAAATTAGAGTACTCATAGTGTGTGTACTAAATGGAAATGGGCTGTTACTGTAATGAAAATGTTTAATTATGTGTGTGTCTTAAAATTGCACACCCGCATTGAATAAGTGGTGATAAGTGCTCAAACCTTCTCCGTGCGAGAAGAGGTCTTTGGTCAGCAGTGGCAACTTATAAGCTATGTTTTTATAATAACTATCATGAGACATACTAAATTAAGTAAAAACGCGGGTTACTCACGTGAATGTACTGAGAAATGCTCTACTAGTTTAGGCAGCTCACTGAGCTGCGCGACGTCGCAGCGACCGCGCACGCTGCTCATAAGGAAGAACCCCTCTGTGGTTCGAAACTAGTAGAGCATTTCTCGGTATATTCACGTGAGTAACCCGCGTTTTTACTTAACTTATAAACTGTTGATGATGATGATATGTCTTAAAATATTCATGTTTGCTTTTTTACAAGTTTGGTTAATTAATCCTTAACCTACTTCTAATTGTACATGTCCATGTCTATGTACATGGAAGAGGATAAATGTCATACTTTATAGAATCTCCACCATATTATCTTGTATTAAAGTTGAAAATTAAGTTGAAGTTAAATTGAATTCAATTTCAGAGTAAGAACATCCATTGAATACCACAAGAGATCTTAAAACTTAATAAATAAAATAATGTATCTATGATGCAGTTTAACAAGCCATTGTGATTGTGCCAATTAATTTTGTGCCTTATTGGAATGAGATTAGATTATAAAGCAACATGTCTTTGTTCTTTCATTGAAAAAGATATGAATAATGAAATATTTAAGATATTAGACATTGTATAGTTGTCTTTTGAGTCATACTACCATTTAATAGTAAAAATGTTATTAAAATAACTATCGCGAGACATACGCTAAGGCTGTGGTTTGAAACCAGTACAGCTTTTCTCGGTATATTAACGTGAGTAACCCGCGATTTTTAGATAATTTAAACTATTCTCGACCCAATTGCCTGAAAGGAACCAGATATATTTAATTTGATTATTTTAAAAGGTGTGGGACTTGAAAATGTCATAAAGCCGAAAGAGTTTCCGCCCATTTTCAAGGGGTTTTTTTTTTAAATAAAAAAATAACTGTAACTTTTTTTATGGGATAAACCGGTAAATGTGCAGACGGGTCATCCGATGGTCAGCAATCGGCGCCGCCCATAGACGCTTGAAACACCAAGGCGTTACAAGTGCGTTACCGGCCTTTTGATTAGGAATTTGAGGATTGGTGGGGATTCAGGGTTTGGGGTAGGAGGGTAGAACTAGGCCTCCGGCAACCTCACCCACACGACGCAACACAACGCAAGCGTGGTTTCACGTCGGTTTTCTGTGAGTCCGTGAAATCTCTCCGGTCGAGCCGACCTATTCATGCTGAAGCATGAACTATTCATTGTTTTCTTTTAAATGTACATAATAAAAAATATATATTTTATTAAATGGTGTCATTCAAATTCAAACAAGACATAAACTTCACTACATAGTATAAAACGAAGTCGCTATCCGCCGTCTGTCTGTACCTATGTATGCTTAGATCTTTAAAACTACGCAACGGATTTTGATGCGGTTTTTTTTAATAGATAGAACGATTCTTAAGGAAGGTTTATATGTATAATGCACCCATGCGAAGCTGGGGCTCTAATAAATAAATAAATTAAACCAACAACTATGTCGGTAATATCATAAAATTCTAATACACTATCCCCACTGTATTACTACAAAGTAGCTGTCCATTGTATATCTATTATCTATTAAATAATCTGTTCTTTATTACAGGAAGTCAGTTTGGACTCGGAGGTGAATGGTGCGCGCCAAGGAATCGAGAAGGCCGCCATTAGTGACGCTCCACCGTCTATCAACGCTTCACTAGCCAGCCCAATCATGGAAGAGGTAATTTATTATTCAAATTATAATTATCATAACATGACAAATTTTCATTAAAAAAAAAGTAGAAGCATTAGGAAGTTACTTTTCGTCGCATATGTTCTTCATTTGCTCAAATCTTTACTTAGCTCTAGAGAATTTGAGTTTTACGTCCGAATACTGAGCTTTAGTTACTAGTATTCCTTAAAGGGGGAAACAAAACGGGTCGGGCAAAGTATTCCTGGGTTTTATTAAATCTATTGAGATTTAATAAACACAATTCCAGACTCCGTGCTACTCAGTAGTAGCACGGAGTCTGGAATTGTGTCCGGTATATGGCAATAGGCTCACCCCTATTACATGGCACTCAAAACATAACTAGTGAAAATGGGGTGTGTACTAAGCACAATAATGTACAATGTATGTACAGTGGCATTAAATAAAAAATCACGCTGTGATCAAAAGAAGAGAAGAGCAGAGCGGGTGAAACAGCGCGGTAGTAGCTAATAAAACAGAATAAAAAAAATATCTCAATCGACAGTCATCACACTTGTAATATTAGCTTGATTTGAAATTCTAACTACACGATCACTTCGTCATATTCGATTAAATGCAGTAGCAACCAATAGACCAATACATTATTCAGGATTTTCGGAACAAAGAAATAATTACTAAAAGACTTAAGACTCATTATGGCTTCACTGAATATCGTGTTAGCGTGGACAATGCTTAAATACTTGTACAAGGTCGCACATCAAAGTAATCGACTAATATATACCTACTGTTAAGTATATACCTAATGCCGGCTCAAATCCGTGGCCAGACATGAGATCAGTCGACGGGAAAGCAACTAGTGCGCGACCGACTATCTAACTTGTTGCTAAGTTGGTTGCTTATATATGTAAGGACGGGACTTCGATAAATCAAAACAAGATGTTAATCGTTACACGTTCTGTTTATTAATCCTCCCTCCTCTCCAGAGATACAGTTTATATTCTTATGCACTAATGATTAACAACTACGTCACACGCCCTATCAAAAATAAAAAAAAAAATAAAAATATGAAAACTTTTTTTTTTTTTAAGCAATTAGCACAAAAATGATTAATTATTATAGTATAGAGATTAAATAAGGATACATTTCTTTTTGTAGTATACAATTAAAAGTACTTATTATATGATTATAATGTACCTAATATCTAATATCATATTCAATACACTCTAAAACTAAACAATAAACAATTTCATCATTAGATAAACTTCATTTGATACCATACAATCATAAACAAAAGTGTTACAATAAAATATAATCACATTCATGATAAAGTCTAGTTCTATTTTTATGAATAATTTTTTCTTTCCCTTTTTCTAAAACAACAACATTTGGAGATATTTCCTTGACTACTTGAAATGGACCTAAATACAATGGTTCCAGTTTATTAAAACTCTCATTTTTAACTAATATTTGGTCCCCAGTTTTATATGTTATAGGATTTATACTGCTATCATATTTACTTTTCCTGACAATTTTAGAATTGATAAGATTATTTTTAGCATCCATTTGAGACTTTTGTAAACGATATTTTAATTCAACAGCATAATTATTAAAATTATAAATTGGGTCTAGTGAGGTAGTAAGGTTGGAAGGTATATTACATTGCTTTCCAAACACAAGTTCATATGGTGTAAATTTTGTACTCGAATGTACCGTAGTGTTATATGAGAAACACCAGTAGGGTATCCATGAACTCCATGTCTGTGTTTGACTGTTAACTTGCATTCTCAAATAAGAAGTTAAATGTTTATGGCTGTTTTCTAGAGAACCTAAAGTTTGATGATGATAGGCTGTAGATTGTAAATGACTTATATGTAAAATTGTACATACCTCTTTCATTATGGTGTTAACAAACTCGGTTCCTCTGTCGCTTACTATCTCTCGGGGAATGCCATACCTGAGTATAAAATTATTTACCAGCGTTGTGGCCACCGTGCGCGCATCCTTGCTTTCTATCGGATACGCCTCTACATATTTGGTTAAGTCACACTGAAGCGTGAAAATGTAATTGTAGTTGTTGTCTCGGGGTAAGGGACCTACTAGATCTATATATATTTTATCGAAAGCTGAATTTCCGCAATCCGTTATAACCATGGGCTCTTTTATTGTATTTAAATATTTATACCGTTGGCATTCATTACATTTCATTACAAAATTAGTAACATCACGCTCTAATCCGTTCCAAAAGTATTTTTTCCGAATATTGTTTAACATGCGTCTTATCCCTGCGTGTCCACTAGTGGGAAGGATATGATAGTCGTTTAATATTACTTTCTTTGTGTCGTCGTCAATTATCTTTTTAACTCCTTTTACTACGCATAAGCGGGGTCCGGACCACTTAGGCAATTTATTTATATATTGAGCTAGCTCTTTAATAATTCTTATGTTAGTTTCATTTTTAATTATATATAAAGTATCTATTTTTAAATGTGCACAAAATAATTCCATTTCTCTCACAGAGACCGCTCGTGTACGCTGTGATTGAGTAAACAGTTTTACGTATACAGTGCGATCTGACGACGAATATGCATAATCACTTTTTTCTAAAGTCACATATTTTTTAACTTTCATCCATTCTTTCTCATTCACAAATATTAATTCCGTGTAATCCTTAGGTAGTTTTAACATTTCTACAACTCTTGGGTGATCAGTCCAATCGTTTTTAGGAATGTTAGTTACCGAAGTATGATTACAAGAATTTTTCTCAAACTCCCGTCTCTTTGCTCTTGTAAGTACAGATATAATGTGTTCATTCATAGATCGTAACTCCTCAGAAGTCACTTCTATGCGTGACAATGCATCTGCAGCTACATTATCACGCCCTTTAACGTAAACTACTTTATAGTCGTATTCTTCCAGTAACAACCGAAACTTTAATAATCGACTGGAAGGATCTGTCAAATTATATAAAAATATTAAGGGCCTATGATCCGTTTCTATAATAAATCGTCTTCCATAGAGATAGGGTCTAAAGTATTTTACAGACCAAACTATCGCTAACAATTCTTTTTCAATTGTAGGATACCTGCGTTCAGCTTTATTTAAGCTTCTGCTGGCGTAAGCAATTGGCCTACGATCAGCATTACACAAAACCGAACCTATAGCGTATCCTGACGCATCGGTTTGTAGAATAAAAGTATTACTGACATCAAATAAAGGATATTGCAACACCGGAGGTTTTACTAAACTATTTTTTAAACTTAAAAATGATTTTTGGCAGTTTTCATCCCAATTATAAGCTACATTTTTACGACACAAGTTATTCAATGGTATGCAAATTTCGGCAAAATTTGGAATAAATTTCCTATAGTAATTAGAAAATGCTACGAACCGTTTTAGTTCATCCGCATTCTTAGGAACTGGATAATTATTTAAAACTTTAATCTTTTCCGGATCTGGTTTAATACCATCAGCCGATACGACGTGACCCAAATATAATATTTCTTTTCTAAGAAAATCGCATTTGTCGGGATTTAATTTTAAATTTACTTTCCTTAGTCTAGCCAAAATGTCTAATAGGTTTTTATTATGTATATTTAAATTTCTCCCAAAACAAATTAGATTATCTAAATATATAAAACACTTGTCATAATTTAATCCTGACATTGCTACCGTCATTAAACGTGAGAAAGAGCTGGGACTTGTCTTTAACCCCATCGGCATACGGGTCATCTGATACTGGCCGGAAGGTGTAGTGAATGCAGTATACTTTCTACTGTCCGAATTTAATTTTGCTTGATAATATGCTTGTGTTAAATCTAACTGTGAAAAATATATTGCACCAGAAAGTGAATCTAATATATCAGTGATATTAGGGAGGGGAAACTTGTCATCAAGTATGCGATCATTTAATTTCCGGAAATCAACAACTAAACGCCAACTTTTCTTGTTATCCTCTAGTTTTTTAGGTACAAGTAGTATTGGACTAGACCACTCACTACTCGCAGGCTCTATAATATCATTAGAAAGCATCTTTTGGATCTGATTTTCAATTTCATTCCGTTGCGAAAATGGTAACCGGTATTGTTTAGTGTAAACTGGGTCCGAATTGGGTTTTAACTGAATTTTTTGTTCGTAAAGATTACAAGTGCCTAATTTATCTCCCGGTAAGTAGAATACGTCAGCAAATTTAGCACAAATATTTTGTATACTCATGGATTCTTCTTTGTTTAAGTGCTGTAATTTTATCAACGATAATAATTTCCTAACCCTTTCTCCGCTTAAATCTTCCTTTTTGAATGAGCAAATATTATAATTAGATAGATAATCAATGTCAGGCTTAAAATAATTAAGTTGAACTTCTGTTTCACGTGTATTTAATATTTGTACTAATATCATTCCCTCTTTAGGTTGACAGATACTTCCAGCGATAAATACGCCCTCGCATAGTTCTCTCGGAAATACAACGCAAGCCTCATTCTCAAAACAATAAATCTGGAAAAATTGCTCACATCTTGGTGGTACTGTAATAAATGAGTTTTTACCTAATCTCCCTAATTCTAAACCGATTGTAACCGAACTATTACATTCGTTTATTGTCAACGTGTTATGTTCATAATTTAGAACACAGTTATACTTCTGTAAAAATTCCTGACCAATTATGCCATCCTGCACACAAGGCAGATTCTTCAGAACATAAAACTTATGTTTAAATTCTTTTCCACATATAGAAAATGATAAGTAAACATAACCATCTGTAGTCGATTTACCACCTATACCATTAATGGTTATGCACTCCGGGTGTATTGGAATATTCCAGTCTCCTATTGCTTCATATTTCACCACTGACAAAGAGGCTCCCGTGTCAACTAGCATTCTATATTTGGTATCGAATATTGTCAATTCTACGAAGTTATTGTAGTTACATGTTAAAATAAAGTTAGGATCGAAAAAACTCTAAATCTAAATTTTGATTGTTAGTTGACGCGTCTTGAACATCGTTTCTAGATTGATCTAGTAAATAAGTATTATGCCTGTTATTGCGATTATTGTTTCCCGGATTCGTTGTCTGGCCGTAACTACGTCCACGTCCTCGCGAATTGTTACAGAAAGCTTTTCCGCGACCTCTATAGAAAGTCCTCAATGGTAATTGATTCTTCGGAGGTAGCGGGTTTGATCTAAAAGTATGATTTGGAATAAAAGTACGACCTCGGCCTTGTCCTCTATAATATTGATAATGCTTACCTCGATGTTGAGTGGTAAAGACTGTCTCCGACGACGTACTGGGACCTTGATGCGCCCGTTCTTCATCCTTAGCCGCGCGTATAACATCTTTAAGTTCTGTGTAATTTCTAGCCGCTAAAATTGTGCTTAATCGACCATTTCTCAAGCCATCCGTAAACCGCTGAATAGCTAGTTTTTCATTTACAGGTCTAAACATTTTATATGCGTTTTCGTTTCCATCAGCTTGAGATATAGTCAATTCAACAAATAGATCTTCTAGTTTCTTACCAAATTCTTCAATGCTCTGGGACCTTTGTCTAGTCTGCAATAGCTCCAACTGAAGCGCCGTGGCAGACTGCTTGGTCAGTAGGTTATTTTTCATATCCTTTATAAGATCTGCGGAAGAATTATAGTTAGATGCCAAACGTAATTTGGCATGTCGAGATATGCGAGTTTTAAGCACGAAAGATATTAATAAAGCTTCATGCTCTTTTTTAATGTTTTGGCTATAAAATTCAATAGCATCTATTAATTTTTTGGTACATTCTTCCTCTCCTGTCATTACAGGTAGAAGAGAAGTTGCAGTTTTCATGTCAAACTCAGTCATGGTTTCTACGGTACTTAAACTCTGTTTATTCTCTAAACAAAAATTCTGAATTTTTTGATAGTATGACTCTATTTCATCGCAAATAACCAAAATATAATCTAACTCTTCCTGTCTAACATAACCTTTAGACACATTGATATCTAATTCTCTACGACATATTATATATTTGTCATATAACTCACTCGCTTCTAAATGTTTTTGTTCTAACAATTCATTTGTTCTTTTTGTCTTACTTAATTTTACCAAGTTTATTTTAATATTTTTTAATGCTTTATGTATTTCTATTAAATCAGACATTTAATCCTCCTATATTATATAAAATAATCATATTAGCAAGATAACATAATAAAAGAAAATCTTAACTAAAGTGTCTCTGTCCATGTGTAAACACCGTAACCAATTTGTAACACTTTTCACATTCACATTCACATTTTCACTATATTTTTTTTTTCACACATGAAGATTCTCTACTCGATGTCGGCCTTTATCCAGCCGTGCTTCCCCTTAAGACTAGACGTTTTGGGCACCGGACTCCTTGCTCCTTGAGTTCCTTGACTCCCGCCTTGGGCCAGAATGCCTAAAAGCATTCCTGGCTATTTCCGCTCGCATCCAGCCTACGTGGCATCGTTTATATAGTTTGTAGACTCCGTATAAAACTCCAAAAATGAGGATAATCAACATCACCCCCAGTATTATGTTGGTTATCGATTGGTTTTGATGCAGTTGGGCCACATCAGCTGTATTTACGCCTCCAGCTGCGTTTTGCGCGATTATAATTTCTTCTTTACTCTGTGATTTTCCCATTGTTAGTTTTATGCACCAAATTCACTTTGTCCGTACAATAACGCAATCTAATTATTAGTCCCATTGTTTCACTACGCGATCTACTGAGTCCGGAATTCGACACCGAACCTTAAATGGCAGGGTCGCCATGTAAGGACGGGACTTCGATAAATCAAACAAGATGTTAATCGTTACACGTTCTGTTTATTAATCCTCCCTCCTCTCCAGAGATACAGTTTATATTCTTATGCACTAATGATTAACAACTACGTCACATATATATAAACAGTAATATTGATGTAAATTCTCGATTAAATTGTGGTTTTGCTACTTAAAGAGTAAAAAATAGACAGAGGCCTATTTAGAGTAGAGTGCCTACCTACATCATAGAATACTCGATTTTGATAGGGACAAAAACTATAAAAAAACATTTTTGAGCAGTCATGTAAAAAATCAAACGATTTTATTACGAATTCAAATGTGTTTGTATGTTTCGCCTTTAACACCTTAACTGCTCAACCAATTTTAATGAACAGAGAATAGGGTAGTGGCCTACATTTTATTTTAATGTCCGTCTTGTAGATTAATTTAAAACATTAGACACGTATTTTTCTTTTCTCACGAAATTAAATACTTTTTACGATATAATAATCTGAAATATCATGTGACGTCACAATACGCTACATTTTATAGCACTTAGTGACGTAATGACCTCCCACTCCATTTTATCAAAGTATTGTAACTTTATACGACAAAATAAAAAATACGTCCAATATTTTTCCATTATCTAACTGACGTACTAATTAGATTTATAATTTTCATTCCCTGGCAACTACCCTATTAGTACCTATGTGTAGAGATAGTGAAAGATAAAGCTTGATATTATTAAGCTATTCAAAACAATACACAGTAGACGTCCACGATACACACGTGGGATAGAAATACGTTTTAGGAAACTTTAATTTAAATCAACCCATTAATTGTTGAAACCTTTAATGAAACAAAACACATTCGACCTTCCGTGATGCTCAGCTGTGTTGATTAGTAATGTTTGTGTTTTTTGTGGATTACATACAATTGTGTACTTGCCAACTAGTCAAATTCATTACTTTTTTGGAACTCAAAAACGATAGTTTTCAATGAATTTTGTACGAGATTGTGTATTGTGACGACATGTTTTTTTTAGCTTCAAACAGCATACCTATTTCTTAAAAATTTGCTGGAAAAATACTTAAATGAAGTTGATCATAAAATCAATTACTGAAAGTGTGATTATTTTTTAATATTTGGTTGTAGTTAACAGTCAAAATAATTGATTTTTGATTAAGGCAAATACCTAATTAGTTAGTGACGATATGTAGAACCCATATAAATTGCACTAGATTCGTCCATGACATTTAGTATCAATCAAGCAATTTATAAATTGTTATTAAAGATTTTTCTTGATCTGTTAGATCTGTAGACGACTAGACTATCGACACATTTATAAAAATAAATTAAGACACCAGTACAGCAACTCAGAAATAGCTTAAAGCTATCAAACGCAATAAAATTGAAAATCCATTAAATAGATGAATCTGAAATTTTATCTGACTTAGGGCCTATTTCGCAATATCTGCATAGCCGCTACCTATGTGCCTGACAAATTGGAATAAAGAATGTAATTTGTAAGAACTATCCGGCAAATAATGTTTATCGGGTACATAAATGAAGTAGTGAAACTGGCCCTTAATGTAACTACAAAGCCGGAAGCAACACACATATTGGTTATAAGTTCATATTCATTTCTTTAAATGTACCCGGTATATGGTAATAGGCTCACCCCCATGTAATAACATGGGACTCAACATAAATACTGAAAAGTGGGTGTTACATTGTACCGCATTAAGTGCCGTAATGTGCACCTCTGCCTGGGAAAAAGGCGTGATGTTATGTTAAGTTCATATTTAGTAAGAATATGTTAGAGGCACTTTCTGTGATGATCGATCTAATGGCCACGAGTATTATCAGCCAGTTTCCTTTACACTAGACCATCCTATTCACAGATAGCAACAGAACGCGCAAACAACATAATAATCACGATCACGGAGCCACAAAAGATTGGAGAAGGCATGAGCTCGTACGTAGCGTACCGTGTCCTTACCAAAACCAACATGCCTATATTCAGTAAGCATGAATTCGCCGTGCTACGGAGGTTCAGCGACTTCCTCGGCCTACATGAGAAGCTGACTGAGAAGTACTTGAGGTCTGGCAGGATCATACCTCCGGCTCCTGAGAAGAGTATAGTTGGTGAGTACATTTTAATTTACTCTATCGGTACCTATACTAAAAAAATATGCAAATACACAGAGGTATGTTGATGTGATTTTTAGCTAGTATGTTATTAATTACATTTATTTAAAAGCGAGGCTAGGCAAACAAAGTAGGATACCATTACAGTACCCCAAACGGTTTTTCATAACTCTAGAAATTCAAATGCGTCTCCAACTCCTGGGAGTCAGAGGCCTTCTCATTCCCTGCAGTAGTGAAAACAAAATTCGAGCAATGAATTCTTTTAAACCAAATTTACGTCAAGCAGCAAGTTCTTCTATTTTAGGTGACCTAACGTAATGTGAATGTGAAATGTTTCTTAATTGTTCATGCAAGGTACCACAAAATTGAAGATGACATCTACACCGTCGACGGAAAGTGCTAATGGCAGCTCAGCGGCTGGCAGCGTACAGTCGCAGTTTGTGGAGCGACGCCGTGCAGCGCTCGAGCGCTTCCTCAACCGAGTGGCTCAGCACCCCGTACTCTGCATCGATCCAGACTTCAGGGAGTTCCTTGAGTCAGGTTTGTTATTGGATCTAACAAAATTAAGAATCATATTCTATCTAATGGTCTGCTAAATGATTCCACTTATTGAGTTTGTTGTTAGTGCCCCTACTAAAAGTTAGATCTAAGCTTGGGGCCGTATTTTATGCGAGCACTGGAATTTTAGAAGGGATAGAAAGCTTTACAAGAATAATGGGGTGGTACAGGGTAGTCCTGTTAGCGACCAGGTGACTATCGAAACTATGACGTAAAACTTGACGACTGCAATAGACAGAGATAGAGGGTCTTTTTGTATACTACTGGGGTTTTCAAGATGTTTGGAGAAAAATACTGCTAGAAAAAGACTGCCTCGTTGGTCGAAGTCGAATGGTCCCAAGTGCGACTGCCGGGCAAGGGGTCCCGGGTTCGATTCCCGGGTCGGGCAAAGTATTACGGGGTTTTAAAAAATTCTCAGTTGTAGCACGGAGTCTGAAATTGTGCCCTGTATATGGCTAGGCATAGACTCACCCCCTACTACATGGGACTCATAACATAAATAGTGAAAATGGGTGTTACATTGTACAGTGGCATAATGTGCACCTCTGCCTGCCCCTCCGGGGATAAAAGGCGTGATGTTATGTTAATGTTAATGGAGAAAAATAAATTATTTTTATGAATAAATTTTTGGTTATACAGACACAGAGTTGCCCAAAGCGACGAGTACGTCAGCGCTGAGTGGCGCGGGAGTGCTGCGTCTCTTCAACAAGGTCGGCGAGACCGTCAACAAGATCACGTACAGAATGGACGAGTCTGACCCGGTATGTAAACATGAACTTGTTAAAATAGAGTAGACGCTAATTGCTAATTTTTATTTTAATGTCCGTCTGGTAGATTATTTTAAATCATTAGACACGTATTTTTTATTTTCTTACAAAATGTGGCGTGACGTCACTTCTATATACATTTTATACGTAGAAATGACGTTTTAGCCGCGACTCCTAAACTTTGATTCGTTTTATCTAAGTTTTGTTTTATTATACGACAAAATAAAAAAATACCTGTCTAATATTTTTTCATTACCTAACTTACGGACTAATTTTATTTTTAAATTACATACCCTGTCATCATCCCAATTGATTTGTTTTTTTTTTCTGAGGTAGGCTCTACTGTTTCATCATATCCTTATTTTAATTTAACTCAATATAACAGTGTTTTCTATTTCCATTCTCCTTATCAGTCGTCATCCTCCCACAAAATGTTTTTTTTTCTGTCATATCTTTCATTTGCTCGGCATCCTTTCATACTGGAATTCAGCAGTCGCTGCGGTTGATGATTTGCTTGTTGTTGTGTTACAAGTGGATAATATTTTTTCTGTGGACGACCTAGCAGGTCACTGGGGTCCTGCCTCGAACAGGGTGGTTTTTCGTCAGTAAGAGTCTGACACTTTTACTTCACCCAGGCGGGAGAAGTCATTGGCATTGGCATTTCTATAAAAAATACTGAATAATTTGTATCGTGGTGGCCCGGAGGTTAAAGACGCCTGCTTCTCATACACGAGAATGCGGGTTCGAAATCTAACAACGGCAAATACCAATGTGACTTTTTCCAAGTTATATGTACTTTCTAAGATCATTTAGACACCACTGACAAACGGTGAAGGAAAACATCGTGAGAAAACCTGGGCTTATAACTTCTAATTATAAGTTTGAAATCACCAACCTGCATTGAGCAAGCGTGGTGATTAATGCTCTAATCTTCTCCACGTGAGAAGAAGCTTTGCTCAGTAGTGAGCATTTATAAGCTGTTGATGATGATTTTTTGTTTATACGCGTAGTGGTTCGAGGAGCGCTCAGGTCGTGTGGAGGCCCTGGAAGCCTGCCTCCGGCGCCTGTCGGGCGCGTGCGAGGCGCTGGCGGGCGAGCGGCGCGAGCTGAGCGCGCGCACGCACGAGGCGGCGCGCGCGTGCGCCGCGCTGTCCGGCGCCGACCCGCACGCGCCGCTCTCTCGCGCGCTCTCGCACACCGCCGACTTGCACGAGAAGGTACTGCATCCCTTTACTCAAAGAGGAAAATAATCATTTCGTACCGTAAAACGGGGTGAATAGAATTCGAGGGGTGAATAGATACAGGAATGGGGTGAATAAATGTCAGAATATTTTCCCAACATTTATTAACCCCTCTTCTGTATCTATTCACCCCGTTTTACCGTTACGCAATCTTCTAGACTTCAAGTCAAGTCTCTAGACTTCAAGTCAAGTCTCTAGACTTGACACAATACAATAGGTTTTTCACGTAAGAGAACCATGCTTTGACCTGTGGTTGAGGTCGACTAGTACGGCTCGTAGTATCCTATGACCTCACAGCAAAACCAGGTTGAAAAAGCATTTACGTTGGGTTTTGCTGTTTGAATCTTTCTCCAGCTCTTTTTCACTAAGTTCAAACTGTGTCTCAATTGGCTACTTTCCTAAATGAAAAATAAATTGTTTCGACTGTTCAATACAATAAAATATTAAACAATAATCACATTTTTAATACATACATACGTTCGCTGTTTGACGCTAAAAAAACATGACGTCACAATACATAATCGTACAAAATTCATAAAAAACTCGTTTTTTTGATAATTCGAATAAAGTATTGATTTTGACTAGTTGCCAAGTACCCAATTAAACAATTCCAATTAGATTTTAAGGCTCTAGACCTTCTTTAACAACAGTCAAAATCAATACAGCACAACTGAAACATACCAATCTAACATTATAATTTTATAAATCTCCTCACAGATCGAGCACCTGCGACTAGAGCAGTCTAACACAGACTTCTACGTGCTGGCAGAACATGTGAAGGACTACCTCGGACTCATCGGAGCTATCAAGGATGTGTTCCACGAGAGAGTCAAGGTAATTCTTCTACTCCTATTTTATTAACAGTTTTAGGAGTCTAAAGTTAAAGAAATCACTCTCTTTTAAGTTGTTTCAATCTTGACTTCGTTCTATTCTATACCACGACGACTGCAAGGGTGGTGCGGTGGCTGGGCAACCAGCTGCCGTGCAACGTGTCGCGGGTTCGACACAGGAGAAAATACTAATGTGGGGCAATGTTTAAAAAAAAAATTCTTTGATGTTAGGTTGAGAAGTCTTTTGTCTATAATAAAAATGTAAACTATAGTGACCACTTACCTAAACCTAACTAATGTGAATCTTAAAAAGAAATTCCAAAATAAAAGCTTATAACATCACGATTTTATCCCCGAGGGGGTAAACAGCGGTACACATGACGCCACTGCACAATGTAACACCCACTTTTCACTATTTATGTTATGAATGTAATAGTAATAGTAGAAAAGTTGATAAAATAAAAAATGCATCTTTATATTATGTCTTAACAGCGACCCGCCCCGGCTTCACACGGGTGAAATATGCATATATTATACAAATAAACCTTCCTTAAGAATCACTCTATCTATTTAAAAAATCCGCATCAAAATCCGTTGCGTAGTTTTAAAGATCTAAGCATACATAGGGACAGACAGACGGCGAATAGAGACTTTGTTTTATACTATGTAGTAACAACTAACGTTATCTTTGTAACAGGTATTCCAAAACTGGCAACATGCTCAGATGCAGCTGACGAAGCGGAGAGAGAACAAAGCCAAGGCCGAGCTCGCCAACCGGCCCGAGAAGATCGAACAAGCTGCCAATGAGATTATTGAGGTAACGTACATTTGAAGAATATGACCTTACTATTTGCATTTCGTACTTGAGTTAACTTAATCCTCTTTTCTAGTATCAATTCGTTATTAGTCAGTGAAAAATATTGGGCAATGAAATTGAGAGCGTATTCATATCACAATGCGCCAATGTTTGCCTACGCTTTGTGGGAACCAGTGGTGGCTGGTGGGTTATCGAACTGGTACATAAACTGTACACTGAACTGTAACACTTTACTTAAATATTAAAATTATAAAATGCAACAAAACAAAAACTATAATATATGTTTATTTCTTATACATTAAACTGTCAAACACCGCGAGGACACTGGTGACCGCAACCTATTTTTCTATAATTGTGTCTATAATGACGGTACTCAACTAGTTACTTAGTACTGAATAACAGGCTCCTGGCATACCTTGAAGGTAACGATCTCCTTAGTGATCAGCAATACGGATTTCGCCGAAACCGATCTACTGGGGACCTTCTTGCATATGCCACCCACATCTGGAGCGAGGCCATCGAGAAACACGGGGAAGCGTTAGCCGTATCGCTCGATGTCTCGAAGGCCTTCGACAGGGTCTGGCGCGATAGTCTTGTTGGCAAGCTTCCCGCATATGGACTCCCCACTGGTTTGTGCAGATGGATAACAGACTTCCTGAAGGATCGATCCATCCGTGTGGTCATTGACGGCTGCTCATCCAATCCACTTGGTATTAATGCCGGGGTTCCTCAGGGGTCAGTACTCTCAGCAACACTTTTTCTGTTGCACATTAATGACCTGCTCCAGCCCGGTATCTTTGGGTACGCAGATGACAGCACCGTTGTTGAGAGGTATGTGTCCGATGCGCGAACCAGTGCAACTCAAATCCAGTCTCTGAGAGAATCTATGGTAAATCGTCTGAACCTGTCCTTGCAGGCGGTCTCCGATTGGGGTGACGCCAATCTGGTCAGGTTCAATGCCAGCAAAACCCAGGCGTGTCTGTTTTCCGCTAAACGGAGTCGGTTCCCACTGACTCCTACTTTCCGGGGTGTGTCCGTTCCGATGGGTGACCGTCTCGAGCTTCTCGGCGTAACTCTGAAGCCCACTCTCAATTTTGGCTCGTATATCGAGACAAAGGCGCAACTGGCTGGTAGAAAGTTGAGTGTCCTGTCGAAGGTGAGACGGTACTTCACGCCGGAGCAGTTGCTCACTCTTTACCAAACACAAGTTCGGTCTTGTATGGAGTACTGCTCCCATCTTTGGGATGGCTCGGCGAAATACCAGTTGGAAGCCCTCGAATCCATCGAGAGGCGTGCCAAGAAGCTCATCAATAACGATTCGCTTGTGGAGGCTCGGCTACAAAGCCTCGAACACAGGCGCAAAATCGCAAGCCTTTCGGTCTTCTATCGGATACATTTCGGTGAGTGTGCGTGGGAATTGCACAAACTTATTCCCCCTAGTCCATTTCACCACCGTACCACCAGGCGAACGGCGGGACGCCACCCTTATATGGTGGACATTCCACCCATTCGAACGAAGCGTTTCGCGTCAAGCTTCCTCATGCGAACCGCTAAGGAATGGAATTCTTTGCCAGAGGCTGTGTTTCCCGCCAAATATGACTTGGGTGTCTTCAAGTCCCGAGTGAACAGGTTGCTCATAGGTAGGCGTGCTCCATCGTCGGCCACATCATCGCTTACCATCAGGCGAGATGGTGGTCAAACGTCGACCTATAAAGTATAAAAAAAAAAAAAAAAAAAAAAAAGTTAAATCAATGCGACTATATTTTTCTGAAGCGAAATGTTCAATCACCTTTATATTAAAATCGGGTATAGTTTGTATAAATTTATTTTCAATATTAAGCACAGAAAGTTGCAGTGCATTTAGCCGTTCCTGAGGCATGGTATTACGGAGAAAAGTTTTGATTCTTTTCAGGGCCTTTAGCCAAACGCCACTTTAGCGCTTGTCTACAGAGAGAGTAGAAATCAAAATGTATGGGGATGACACTGAAAAGTGTTAAAATTTACGTCAAATCCATATAATTTGGTTTTCTATTCTACATGTAGACAAACGCTAAGTGGCATTTGGCTACAGCTGCAGTATCGAAAAACATCACTCGCTCTCTACTGAACTCATTGGTATAGTGCACAGAATTCGCAAGAGTTTCATAGACTCAGTCAGGTCATTATTATAGAACAACTGTAAGATTGCAATTGCACTATTTGCGTTTGTGAAATCGTCGTGACTGTATATTGCTGATGGTTCGTTTTTCAACTGGTACTTGTCCAAAGCTGCGTATGTGGAAACTGTGGTCAAGAAATCTTTGTCAGGAGAAGTAGAACGGTATGTGATAAGTTCTCGCGTTAAGTGTGGGAGAGCCATGCTTCGGCACGAATGGGCCGGCTCGACCGGAGTGATACCACGGCCGAGCAGAAAACAGACGTGAAGCAACGCTTGCGTTGTGTTTCGTCGTGTGAGTGAGGTTACCGGAGGCCCAATTACCCTCCCCTTCCCCATTCTCCGCATTTCCTGAATCCCCAACGATCCTCAAACTCCTAATCCCCAATGTCTAACTTTTGAATATGGAATCGAATAAGGCATACATTCTTACAGGGTTAAAATGACACGTTCTCGATAAACGCTAATACAAATAAAATGTTTTCAATGTAATAATAACGACTTCGTGATACAAATGCGTAACTATGGAAAATCTGTCACTTTAGGTACTTTGCACTCGTTATGTCTATGTTCATCATCGATAGTGTAAGATTCCAACGATAGAAGAATTTTTCAAATCGGTTGGGTAGTTTCGGAGGTGATTCATTCCAAACAAAAAATCAAATCTTTCCTTTTTATCCTATTAGTGAAGATAAGTCTTAATAGTTAAGTAAAGGGTTCAAATTGCATCACCATAATTGATGATGTCATTTATATACGTTTTTGTATGTTTAAAAATAAATATTAAAATGGTAGACTTTAGTATAGTATCTTAACAAGGACTAGTCGTAAATAACAATATTTTTTTCCAGTGGGAAGCGAAGGTAGAGCGAGGCCAACAAGAATTCGACACGATATCGCGTGTGATCAAGAAGGAATTGGAGCGCTGGGATGAGGTCCGTCTACACGACCTGAGACACGCGCTACTACGGTATCTGGACGACCATATGAAGCATCAGGCACAGGTAATTAAACCTTATTTTGTGAAGCTGTAGGTTTATATTACCTTGACAACAAACTATGCTGTGATGTTGGGGACTATAGTCTCTCTTGCTAATCAGACACAGTTAGACTTTGTTACTTTTCGCTTAAGTTTGAAATCACCTTGAGAATAGACTATAACGTCGCTTTTACTAACATAATTGCAAAATGAGCAAGTTTAGGTCAGGATCAGAACGTTCTCATTGTCTTTTGATCTAAGACCCAATGCAAATAGGGTCATACCGTCGCGGAGAACCTAACGGGTTACCGGCGCTCCGGCTCGACGTGCAGGAGAAGGAACGGGGTGGTTTTTAGTCAGTAAGAGTCTGACACTCCCTCCCGCCTCACCCAGGCGGCAGTAGAAATTCCATAATTTTCCCTCCTTAAAAAAAGCAAGGTCAAATTATTTTTCTGTCATTATATAAAATTAATGTGTTTATTGTTTACAGTCGATCCGCTACTGGGACGCGTTCCTACCGGAGGCGCGCGCCATCAAATGAGTGGGACTCTCCGCGCTCGCACACGGCGACTGCGCTAACGTTAGTAAATGAATTCCAATACCTTACTACACATACACATACATACATCACCTCGGTACAACAGAATAAACAATACCTTGTAGTTGATCCAGACTATGAAGATAAATAACTTTTTGTTTATAGCAAGTGAGCGAATACGAGTCAACTTCTTGTTTGATAATAAGCAAATAAGTGCTTTATACATGTATAATAATAACTATAGAAATGTGTACTATGAACAACGTTTAATAACCATTTTATATATACTATAGTTCCTCATAAGCAAATCGCGAGTCACAACAATATGTATAAAAAGTGCGAATTTCTATAAAAGTGCTGGAAACTAAAGATATACAATGTTACTCTCTGAAATACCAACTACAAGTTCCGTTGTTTATTCTGTTACACCCTGTATACAATGCGGAATAGAGATGGCGCTATCTAGTGTATCTTCCATCTCTCTCTGACACAAATTTTTAAACAACCTCCGATGAGAGAACAAATGGAGTGTTTATATATGAAGAAATTGTATATTTTCCACGCCTTATATATATAAAACTGTACTATTTGCAAATATGGCTGCCCACGCGCATGCTTTAAATGTCATATAAAAACACTCTGTTCATTCGAATTTAATATATTTCTTCCATAGAAACAAGTATTTAAAATTTTAAATTGTTATCATGAGGCTTTGCAATAGATAAATAAAATTAATATATAAATTATTGTTTGGATTTATCGTGATGAATTCTATCAATGTTTGCTCAGACGTTTTCAAGATTATCGCACACACAGACAAAGTCTGACTGTATTCTACACTTCTGAGCTTGTTTGTATAAAGTTTTCTGTTAATTTTTGTTATTGAATATTTTAAATACCGTTAAATTAAAAACTTAAATTCACACACATAATTTCAAAACATCACATTTTTCTATCTCTTCAAAGAATTTAAACTTATATTTTAATTTTTATAGATATATAATTATATATTTCATAATACTATAACATAGTAAATGTGTAATATAATGAATATGTATAACTTATAGTGAATAACTAAAATTGTAATTGATTTTAGATTAAAATTTGTATTTTCTTATTATTTTTCATGTATTTGTAAGTCCGTATATAGTAAAAATTTAGTGTAAATCTTATATGTACTGCGTCATCAGGTATTGTAAGATCTTCTATAAAATATAATAACATAAACGGAATCTTAATGCCAAATAAAAATGACATTCCAAATTGTTGCTATTTAAAAAACACGATTTTTTTTATATTTTATAACTGGCAATGTTAATTCATTTACTAACGTTATATTTAATGAACATAAATACTTTTGATTTTACTATTAATTTGTTTAAAAGTAGATTATGTTCTTGTATGTTTTTTCTATATAAATATTTTTTATTCTAAACGAATGTAAGACTTATTTTCTAATTCATACGATTCATCTTTATGCTCACGTCAATATCTGCTAGAAAGTTATTCTCTAAGGTCCAATAAAGAAGTATGTTCAAGAAATAACGAATTCTGTTTTGATATATAAAAGAAAAGGTATACAACACTATGATTGGTAAAAATTGAAGCCTGGCTAATAGGATTTATCAAAGTCAAAGCATTTATTTCAATTAAACCATAATTTGGTACTTTTGAAACGTCAACAAATACAAAATAAATAATAGTCTGTCAGTCAGTCCGTCAGTGAAGCTAGGTGAAGCTAGGTGCTCATTCCAAAATGTAGATTCGAATGGAGAAGAATGAGAAAGAAACTACATTCGTTACTCTTTAAAAAAAATCTATTTAAATAATAAATCTAATAGACTTTCCTATACATGGACTTACGCCATCTTCAACATGTGTAAATCTGTAAAACTGTGACAACAACGCTCGCCTTGTGTTTCGTTGCGAGAGTGAGGTTGATACTAGAGCCCCAATATAAAAGGCGACAACGCACTTGAAACTCCTTTGGTGCCACAGATATTCATGTGCGGTACTGATTGCTTCCTCATGATGAGTCATCTTCGTCTGCCTAAACCTTTAATATATGGATTTAGACAGTCTCACTTACTGATAGATCTCAGATGCTAGTCTCAAAACCAAATGAGTGAGGTTACTGAAGGCCTAATCCTCAAATCCCAGGGTCGTCTTAAACTACGCTGGGGCCCTTTTTTGGCACACAATAATTTGAAACCTTTTTGAAATGTTTCTGTTTTTCAACATTAGCATTTTCTCTTACATCGTGGGTGCATTTACAAACATACAAGTTCACATACACATGACATCCAGACCCGAAACAACGATTTGTTGATTGAGGATCACTTAAAGATTTGCTCCGTGTGAGAATCGGACCTGCTACACGTTGCGGGGCAGCCGGTTGCCACGCAGCGTGTATCGGGTGTGTGTTCGTCGAAGAAATTGTGGGTCCTTCGGGGCCCCCTGAAAATAGGGCCCTGAGCACGGCCCCGGAATGCCCTTGTAGTAAAATCGGTACTACTTAACCCCCAAAAGACAAAAGCCGAGCACCGCACATTTAACTAATTCGGTGTTGTCCATGAGCAGTGCTGATAGCTTCCCATCAAGTGAAACAAGTGAATTTATTTCTGCAAATAGGCTACAAGGCAGCACTTTTACACGTCAATTTGATCAAGCGAACGATGAGGTCGACATTTCCTAACTGACTACTGAGAAGAAATGCCGGAACAAATTCGAGAGGTCCGTCTCTTTTAAAGTCCAGACAAATATGTGATCCACCTGCTCGTTTGCCGCCCTACGACATCAAAAATTCTAATTCTACACCTTGAGGTGTATCCAGCAAAAATTACTATATTATTATGTTCTAGCTATTATTCAATCAACAAAGCTATGATTCATGATAAAGGATGACAAATAGATAACTATATAATTAATTAAAAACAACAGGAAAAGACATTAATAATGATAACAAATTTAAACAAATAGATAGTACGCCTGCAGACTAGATAATAAATATTATATCAACTTGCATTTTGTTTGTTAGTCTGTTGGCCAGGCTTCAATACAGGGTGAAATTAAACAAGTAGAAATTATTTTTTTATGTTAGACAGTTTGATGAGCTCTGTTCGACCAATCAGGCCCTTTCGTTTGATATCCGTAATGGAAGTATTGGGCAAAAATTTGATTATATTGTATGGTCATCAAGATTAAGAGTGCGCACCAAATATCAGATCGATCTGTCGTCAGGAAGGGGGTACAATAGGGATGATGACAGAGTATGAAAATTAAAAATCTAATTAGTCCATCATTTAGGTAATGAAAAAATATTAGACACGTATTTTTTTCATTTTGTCGCATAATAAAACGATACTTAGATAAAACGAATCAAAGTTTAGAAGTGGGGGCTAAAACGTCATTTGTATAAAATGTAGATAGAAGTGACGTCACGCGACATTTCAAAACAATATATCGTCGAAAGTATTCGTTTCTGTAAAAAATTAAAAAATACGTGTCTAATGTTTTAAAATAATCTACCAGACGGACATTGAAATAAAAATTAGTCATCTACCCTATTCCAATTACATTGTTTGACCCAAACAAACAGGGCATGATAAATGAAAACGTTTAATAACATTGAACCTCTTTCACCCGAATACTGTAAGGCTACTCAATAAGTCACGCTTAAATATAGTTCTGTCACTAAAAATTCTTTATCTATCTATATAAATAAAAATGAATTGTTGTTCGTTAGTCTCGCTAAAACTCGAGAACGGCTGAACCGATTTGGCTAATTTTGGTCTTGAAATGTTCGTGGAAGTCTAGGGAAGGTTTAAAAGGTGAGAAAAATATTTTTAGGCAGTACGAAGTTTGCCGGGTCATCTAGTAAAATATAAAAATGAAACCCGTTTCCCGTCGTCACGCCATTACTTGAGAACGGCTAGACCGATTTGGCTGAGTTTTTTGCATTTGTTATCGTCAGGAGAAGGTTCTTATGACAGAAAATAGTCCTGAAAATCCTACGGGAACGGGAGAAAACGAGATTGCGCGTACGAAGTCGCGGATAGAAGCTAGTTCTTTATAAAACGACAGAGATGGCACGATGTTTAAGTACAACTTAAATTTGAATACCCTTTCAGTATTCGGCCGTAAATCTTAAAGTTATGCTGTTTAAATATCACTCTCTATAATACAAAGAAATGCTACCAGATCGCCAGATTAAGGCTAACAATGTGTACTGTATTGATTTGTCTATAAAGGTCATTTTTGAGTGATAATTAATTTCCTGTTATTCATCTGTTATTGATGATAATCATCAGATTAATTAAATGGTGTGAAAAATAAATGTTACTTTTTTTTCAATATGATCAGTAAAGGTACTCGGGATTTCAAACAGATTAAAAAATGCCAGTCTGTCGGTCAGTTCTCTACAGAAGTTATTTGCGATCCAAAGTGTACATTCTTATAGAGAAGAACAAGCAAGAATCTGTATAGGTTACTCTTTTTCAATCAGTTTCACAATCCAGAGGGCTTTTTTTAAAGGGGGGAAAATCATCGAATGACTGCTCCCGCCTGGGTGAGGTGGGAAGGAGTGTCAGATTCTTACTGACTAAAAACCACCCCGTTCCTTCTCCTGCGCTTCGTGCCGGAGCCCCTGTAACCCGTTAGATTCTCTGCGGCTCCGTACATCCAGAGGACTTAGGACGAGTTTTAAACGCTCTTATTGGCCGACTCCAATGAACCAGCCTAACAGAGCGCCGAACGCGGTCTCGTTTCGATTAGTTGAAACGTTAAAGAAACTCGTAGGTACTAAGGCCTCTATTATTGATTACATTGTTTACTTAAAATTCTTGTACCTATGAATGATATTTAAAAAATATATATCAAAACGTCTTTTTGAAAGAAAAATATTAAAAAAATGTACGTTAACCTTTCAATCTTTCTTAATCCGTAGATTATTAATAATTTCGCTAACATGTAATTAACTTTTACGTAAACACACACAGTCTATATAACAATCTTAAAATCTACATAAAAATAATTTGTCACTCAAAAATGAACCTAAGCTCAACTGTAATAAAGGTGACTTTTGTATCCAAGTTTTGATGATGTTACTATAGAAGAAAAATAATGTATCCCTTGTATAATATTAAATCTCCTAAGTGCAGCACATATTGCTATTTCTTTCTCACCGCTGTTATTAGAAAGTGATGAAAATAATGGCAAGATTCCAACATAAGTTTAGTTTCCTTCGGGAAACAACTTGTGGCCTGTCTGTAGTCGGGAAACAACTTGTAGCCACGTATTTTTTTCATTTTGAGCCT